AAAAGACAAATGGAGATAAGATCAAACCATACCAAACAAAGAAAAAGTTTTAGTGGTATTAAAAACCAAAGAATTACATCGAATGGCCCTATTTGGGTACAAACTCAAGCTCATAAAAATAGGGAATGGAATAAATAACAAGATCATGAAATTTACTCCAACAATGATCAATGAATTTCTGTTCTTTCTTTATTTATCCTCTATTTCTTCTAACATTGGCTGCATGAGTTGGTGTGCTCTCACTTCGTAAAAGAGCTCTTCAGCCTTTATTTCGAATGTTGTTTCTCTCATTCCTTGTTCCAATTCATCTATCTCTAAGTCATCCCAGTACGCAGAATCTTTATTCTTGAAATAATCAAATTCTTCAATGAAGTTCTCTGCTTCGTACTAGGCATGAATTCAAAGGGACGAAAGTTGGTCTAAAGATTGTGTAGTGGCCATAAAGGTCCGATACCAGTGGAGAAGCAATGGAAGTTGGTCCAAAAACATGTGAAGCTCTGCTTGGGCGAGGGGATAGAGGACATGACCCCTAGTCAGAATATCACAAGGCCATCGAAGGTTCTTGAAAGGGACTTCGTCCTCAAGAACATTGAATGGCAAGTGAGAAAAAGCCGCAGGTAGAAGTTAAGCTTGCTTCCGCTCAGCTGAAGTAGGGGAAGGCGGAGGCTTGTAGGGTGAAAAGATCTTATCTGTGGAAAGGGGAAACCTCAATCCTTCTGTCTAGCAAGGATTTAGTGGAGGGGAAGGAGTGGATGCTTTTATTTTAAGAGATGGAACAAGGGCAGAAGGAACAAGAGCATTAATATAATTGAGCCAGTCAGAAGAACAAATCTTTGCCTTCTGGGCTAAGAATGATGGATTGTACCCTTGTGCCTCTTCTAAGTGTCGGGCGACGTGCACTATCTTTGTAGGTATGGAGTATGTATACCATGCCACAAGCAGATTCTCCTCCAAACTGCGTCGATGGTCAATGGGCACGTAGGGATAGACCACCGAGCTTCGCGCATAAGAAGGGAACTCTAAAGGGTCAATAAATTCGACAAAGTGATGGTTGATTCGTTCCCTCAAATCACAGGCCTCAGGTTTTGACCAGCTTGTCCAGTCGGAAGCCCCAAAAGAGGAAGAAGTCGCAGCCTTGTCCATGCAGAGGGTTGTGAAGAAGAACTTCCCATGTCCATATTTGCAACTTTCTGAATCAAATGATTGAGAGCAGTTTGTTCGTAGTCCAAGGGTGAGTCAGAAGAAGAACTTCCTATGACCATATTTGTGAGTTTCTGAATCGAAAGATTAAGGGCAATATGTTCGAAGTCCAAGGGTTGATAATTTGCAAAGGCATCCATGACCTGAATATAGAAAGGTGGGTAAAGGTAGCTAATTAATGCGTGGAGATTCTTTCGAGGAGGAACAGAATCGTCATATGACTCTTCGTGTGATCGATCATTGGAGGAGAAAATTGATTCGGCCATAAAATGTATTAGTCTGTTCGAATGCTAAGGTGGTGGGGGTTTCAAAAGATTGAAGGAGAGTTTAATGCAGATAGTAAATGACAGTTGCATTTTTGGAAAAATGCCAAACCCATGCACGTTCTAAGACGTGGAAAAAAGACCTTGATCCACTAATATCACCAAGTATTGGGTATATTAGTGCGGGGGGTAATGTTGGCTACATATTTTGTACAAGCCAATTACAATTCAACGCGTGACAAAGTAAGGGTAGTACGGGAAGACTATTTAAATCTTCGATCCTGATCGTACACATGGCAGTTAGTAGTAGTTGTTACGAGATCTGAGTAGCAGTGGATCAGCAGAGAGATACAAAGTGATGTGGCATCATCGGTTACTCACATTTGAATTCAAATTTATGAGGGAAGCCTAACTGCAAGTGATGGCGTAATGGAGCTAATCTCGAGGCAACATAATTAGCGATCATAGAGGAGCAGTTCGACGGTTGGAAATACAGTTCGATGGTCATCCTTAAGCAGTATAAATAGCAGAGAAGGCCCCAGAAAAGCCCCCAGACTCAGATCCAAAAAACCAGTCTTATTCTACTTTACTTAGTTGTACATTTCCTGTTCTTTACATTCCAGTACTTTAAATTCTGCACTGCACTTCATTCATAGGAGTAGTTTCAAGTAGATTATCGCTGTAAACCTCTACGAGGCTGAGTTTCAATCATTGTAAGTTTTTCATTCTAATGAAATGCTTCAGTTGTTCTTTATTTGATTGATATTTTTGCTTAATTTTCCTAAATCAAGCCACCAGTAAAAGTCCTCTTCATTGAGGCTAAAAGAACTAAAACACAATCGTCTGATAATTGGTTGGCAATTAAATCTTTGTAAGGACTGATTGATCCTTACTGGCACGCTCGCAATTACAATAATAACCTTCGAAAGCCAAAAAGCCAACAGTCGCTCAAGAGACAGATGCATACCCTCTGGACGAAGTTAGAAGGCATGTACCAGTTGAAGACTGCTCGAAATAAAGCCCTTCTAATGAGAAGGCTTGTAAATTTGAAGCTAAAAAATGATGTCTCTGTTGTTGAACATATCAATGAGTTTCGAAATCTGGTAAACCAACTAGCAACTATTAAAATAGATTTGAATGATGAGATGCAGGCCCTATTACTGCTCAGTTCCTTACCATACAATTTGGAGACGTTGGTATTATCCTTCAGCAACTCTGCACTTGAAGAAAAGCTGACCATGAGCATGGTCATAGATGCTCTATTTAGTGATGTTGATCATATTGTTCGATTATGATAATGTCAAAATACATTAGATTTATCATTATTTTTAATATACATATTTTATATTCTTTGACATAAATATTATCCGTTAAAATATGTGATATATGATGTATTTGTAATAAATATTAATTCAATAGATTTTACTTACGTATTATATTATTTTTTAATAAGCAGTTACTATTTATCTTTTGAAATTCGAACAGTTTGAAAAAAAATTAGTTATACTACTCATCGAAAGCAACTTTGGCATATAAATTTAAATATTTCGCTGCAAATTTTGAAAAAGGAACGTGTGCCAGTTACAAATTTTGAAAAAGGAAAAGTCACTTGCCAGCAACAAATTTTGATGCGTGCCCAGCTGCAAAATCTGTCTCCAACGAGCGTGCTATTTCCAAGTGATCTGAGCGTGCAAAGCTCAGAAAAGGAGCTCCAAATAGATTTTTGGCTATAAAGAAGTGCTCTGCTATGTTTGTTATGGTACGATGGATATCTTTTAACTATGCTCTTCGTTTTTAAAATCAGACCTTGCTACTAAGGTGGTGTTTGGCAAGGGAGTTTGGGGTTAAAATAGTCACAAAAAATAAAATAAGTTATTTTAGATATAACAAACAAAAGATCACATCAAACCCATAATCATTACACTTTTTTCTCACAAAAAAAGTCAAAAAAGTCAAAAAAACTAAAAAGTCCTCCCCAAACCAAACTTTTTAGCTCAAGCTAAAATAACCAAAAAAAACTAAAAAGCCAACCTACTTCCCAAACGGAGGCTAATTGTTATTTGTTGTCAATGCAGAAACCTTTTTTATTTTCTCTGTTCAATTGGATTTGTAGCCGTTACTTCTGTCAGTGTCAAGTAATAATAAATCATCGATTCCTACATTTTATCTTTGTGCTTGTGCTTTTTTTTCTTTGACTTGAATTACATTACCCTCCATTGTTGAGCTTGCTTATCTTTGTTTACCCACTCTTCATCTTTGAAACTTAAATCTCATATTCATGATGTCTCTACCACTCTCTGCTACGATGTCAAATGACATTTTATTTGATCTTGCCTATGACATGCAACTCTATATGCTATGTTAAAAGGGTAGGGATGGGTGGGATCTAATAGGTAGAAGAAACAGATTTCTGCCCTCACGCAAGGCGAGCAAGTCCGCCATCTTGAGCTCCGAATTCTATCTAAAAAACACGGCCCCAAATAATTTTCAATCGTAAGTTATGTTTGGCTCATTTTTATTACCTTCATTACATCATAACGTTCATCTTTACATTTGATTTACTAAAAAATAATAATAAATATTTTAAATAAAATTATCATTCACCAGAAATAGTTATTTTATAAAGAAACTAAAAAATGATTATTTCTTTCAATTCAATTTCATTTCAATAAATCAAATAATACATTATAGTTTAAAAATAAAGTCTTACAATTTATTTTAATCAATTGAATTGATGAACTATTTAAAATTATTGAATAGTTATTTACCAAATGTAAGATTATTTATAGAATATTATTTGACTATACCGGTTATAATTATATTTAGCGAAATATTTTTTTTTTAAAGTTAAAAGTTTATCAAATTTTACGATTTAATCTATTATATCACAAAAAAATGTGAATAAACTAATAAAACTAATAATGTTAATAATAAAAAATATTCAAAATTTATCATAATATTAAAATATGTATGAAAGTTGGATCTCATTTTTCGAATGAATAATGCTTAGGACCCTCTTTTGGGGGTCACCCCCTCACTCCCTTTGTCACGTGGCGGGTGGTGATTGGAGGAGTAGGAAAAAAAAGAAAAAGAAAAATAAATTGTAACCAATGAAAGAGAAGGGGTCAAAGGAGGTGGGGAGAAAAGAGGGGATGAATCATTGTTGTTTTCGAATTTCCCTTAATCTCTAAAAAAGTCAGCCTGGCCCTGATTTCTTCATGGACACTACAAAAATGATTTACACCTCTAACATAGAGAAGTTTTAATAGCTCTAATAGAAGGTGAGTTCCATTTTGATATGATATTTTTATGTTTTTAATTTTTTTTTTTCATTTTTCATCCCACTAAAGTTTAGTTAAAATTTTAATTTTAGAGGGATGAACCATAACTCATTCCATTACAGTAATGTTAGGTATCATGAAAAAAATTTTATGAAAATAATCATGAAAGTTTTGTGACTCTTAAATTACACTTAAAATAAAATAATACATACTAATCAAAGTAATTCAAAAATTATAAATCTTTCGTCATCATTTTCATAAAAAAAAATTTAAAATCCCTAACTTTTCTCATTCCCTTCTATAGACATTTTTCATCCGCACAGCAACTCTCTTATGTACAAGAAAGTTTGCTTCCAAACAAGAAAATATCTTCGAAGAACATTGAAGTTAGATCTGCTTTTTGAATTTCATTAACACTTCAATTAGGACCCCGACAGCTCAAGTACATCACTGTCCGGAGTGACTCCTCAGCTTGTTTATATCTGTTATCATTGCTGTCCTTAGCAGCTTTGTTATAGGCCAATTGATTATAAGCACCGACATTTGTTCTCACCTGCTTAGAAGAATCAGAAGGAAAGGGAGAAGTAGAATCAGAGTCATTAGTTGCTTTCATGGTTGAGTCACACTTCGGAGAGTTCTCTTTTCTCAGAGTCTTGAAGTGATCTAGCAAAGCAATCCTCGGATTACTCGTTTGAATCAGTTTGGACCCCAACAACTCAAATACACGACTTGTCTCAGAGACTCCTCAGACTGACTTGCCTTCTCAGTCCTCCTCACAGCCATTGAAGAAGAAGATAGCTTGTTAGCTTGAGAGAATGATCTGAGATTGGTCTTGGTGTGATGGTGAGGAGGCCTCAGAGTGTAGTTCCATCTACAGAAGCCTTGATCTTTTAGACCTTCCACTGCTCCTACACTTGCTGCAACTACGCAAGCTCTAGATCTGCTTGCCGAACTCATCTTTTTTTATTTATCTTCTTTTCTTTTTCTCTCTGTTTATTTCTTGGTTCTTGTTGTGGATGAAGCCTTCGGCTCCTTTTGGCAAGGGCGTTTTTGGCTATTTTAACTACAAAAAGTAAAATGAGTTATTTTAGTCACAATAAATAAAACATCATATCTAATTCATAATCATTACACTCTTCTCTTATAAAAAAAATTAAAAAAAACTAAAGAAGCTAAAAAGTCCTTTCCAAACCAAACTTTTTAACCCAGGCTAAAATAATAAAAAAATTAAAAAGTCAACCCATTTTCCCAAACGGATGCTTAAAGATTTCAACAACTTAAATCTATAATTCAACCGTTATACTAAATAGATTAATAATTTTTGATTAAAATCATAATTTATAAACTATTAAATTATAATCTTTTAAAAGTTACACCAAATGAGCCATGAGAAGGTTGAATTGAATCTCTGTGTGAAACCAAGAGGCTGATTTGGCGGAGTATGTTAGCCATGAGAAGGTTGAATTGAATCTCTGTGTGAAACCAAGAGGCTGATTTGGCGGAGTATGTTAGAAAAGCCAGTGGTTTTGTGGCACTAGTTTTGTTTGATTAGAATTTAGAGCAAAAGGGAAGCGAGGAATGGGCCCAACCCAACAGTTGCTTCAGCTACTAGTTTCTGTATGACCCTGGTTTTTGTAGCGGATAATATTAGGAATAATAAATTTTTTAGTAAATAGATGATTAAATATTTTACATAATTGTGGAGTTTGTAAGATATTTAATCATTTATTTAGTAAAAAATTTAAGATGTATAATATTTTTCTTTTATGGCCTACCATCATCAGCTTCATTTAATGGACTGTGGAGTAGAGCAAACAAATTTTATTGTGGTATTATTAATTAAGAAAATACACAATTATTTCTTAATATAGTGTTAGTGGATATTTTGATGTTAAGCCTTTCAATTGTAGCCTTCTAGGCATAGACAATAAATGAAATGCTTGCAAAATTTATGTCAAAAATTCAAGTTTGGTCTTTAATAAAATAAATAAAGTTTGGTATAAATAAGTTGTGACTTGCAACGCTGAGGTAAAAGGTTATTTTAGATTGAAATTAAATTTTAACCAAGTAAAAAAAAAAAGTTAATATACATGTAGTTAAGTGACATTCAATTGGCAATTACTATCATAGTTGTTGAGGTTTTGAATTTCTCACTTGCAGGATGACATTATGAGTTGTATATTTATGAGTATGCTATTGTCGAATTTTTTAAACATAATAGAATATTCTGGCTTTCATAATATATGCAAATTATTTTTCACCATTGAAAATTAATATATATATATATATATAATAAAAATTTTGAAAGAAAAATTTTAAAAAGAGAACAATTGTAAAACGAATATCATGGTAAAATGAGGGGTGGAAAGGAATGGTGAAAGTGGTGAATTTTATTTTCATTTTGACAACACCCACTTAAATATAACAAAATTTGTTAGCATTTTATCCTTTCATTCCATTTTAAATAAACATTATAATTGACGTAGTTAGGCCCACAGAGGTCATAGCCCACTATGAACAACCGAAGCCCATCACTTAGAGCCCAACACATAACCCAACTCATGAGATCCTGAACAGCTGGAAGCCAACATGGCACGAAGAACCAATGATATTCAGACATGGGGCAGGTAAAGGACAAGTCACATCAGCAGATAAAGATCTACAAAGTTATTACCACTGCACATCGCCATTAAATGCAGTCCATCACAGCATTTATTACGACAACATCTCTCCGTCGGAACAGCACCCCCTCACCCTGAACAAGGTAAGCTACAGCATAGACTTTTGGCCAAGGTGGCAGGTCAGAAGGGACGGCGAAATGATTATCAAAGGATATAAGCAGACGTTGAAGACAAGAAGAATATTAAGTGTTCTATCTCCAATTCATATCTCTACATTACAGTTCCCTCTCTCTAACTTGCTCGTCGGAAGGTTCGTTGGGGGACTCTCCGTTCCCCTGTTGAACTTGTGTGCAGGTTCTCTGGTGGGCTTAAACACTCAGCTACCGGTTGAAGAAGCGTGGATTAGTCCGACCCATTCCACCTGGAACCCATTGTGTAGTAACTGTATTATCAATAATTATATGTGATTCCCCCATCCCAAATTATAAATGTCTTCATTTTACTAAAATAAATGTTCAATAGGGCAGTCATTTTTTAAAAAAATTTTAATATTATTTCTTACAACTGAATAAAATTAAGAATATAAGTCTAAACATTGGGGCTCATTTTTAGGATTTTTAATTTAAAGTTTATGATATTAGAAAATGTAATATTTTTATAATAGTTGGAGTCTCTCGACATTTTTATAGAGAAATTTCTTAGTAACGGACTGAAATTTCTCTAATAATATTATTAACGGATCTTAACTAATAAGAAAAAATGTATTGGACTTCTCATACTACCCAAAGTTAAAGAAAGATATTTCATTAATTTTTCTCTTATTTTACTACAATAAAAAATTAATATAATAATTTTATTTATCAAATATTCACATGAGTAGTTATTAAAAAAAACCATAAATTAATTTTGCCTATCTTAAAATTTAAAATATAAAAAAATAATAATATAAAGGACATGAGATCTTGAAATCCATGGGAGCACAACCCGTGAAATCTAAGGGATCACGATCCAACACGACCCATTGTTTTTAAAAAAGAAAAAAGAAAAAAATTGAACAAAAAGACAACACACGTGTTGAATGGTGGACATATAACTCAAAGCAAGCTAATAGTAATGGTAATACCCATTTGAGTCAGGCAAGTGTGGCAACCAAAATTGATGAGATGAGAGATCTCAAAGCTCTTATATCAATGTTCCGTGGCTGTGGGTCAGTTAACAACACAACCGTCGGATCACAGAGTGCTATAGGTAGGCTGACGATGGCAATCAAGCCTACTCCGGTTAGACCCAGCTCGGAATCCGGCGACGCCAGCACCGTGAGATGGGTTTCCTCCGGTGCCGGAGAAGAGACTGGGAAGAAGGCGAACGTGGTGGTGGATGAGAAGCGCAAGATAAGGGAAATTGAGAAGGCTGAGAAAATCATGCTCCTCATCTGCTGGGGACCTGATTGAATTTCTTATCTAAGTAGGGTCATGCTATGCTACTATAAACAAATAGTAGATTTTCTTGTGAATATAAAGAAATAGAAATTGTAATCATGCTTGTGATTCTTCCTTTTCAAATCAATATAAAGTAGTGTAACTATTTATGTCCCAACTGACATAATCAACATGTTTGCTTTCTTTGGTATCTCTCCTCAAGAAATCTCATTGAAGCTTGAGAGTCGCATAAAGCTCGTGGTAGAAATCTTGGGTGCCAGCATTTTTCTTAGATAAATTTTAGAGAATGCTAATTTGTTATGTAAATATCTAAAATTTATATGACTGAGAGGGTGATTTATGATCTGGAGTTGGGCTGAGATAACGGCCGAGCAAGTTGAGGGCCCAACGGTGCATGGGGCCTAGATGACCGACTATCCGCCCAGACTTGGGCCGGGCAGAACGTGGGCCGAGTGTGTGCCGCCCCAGACCGTAAAGAAACTGCCCGGCAAGGCAGTGCTCGGTTGGACCGAGCTGCTCGATCAATGGATGGCCGAAGCCGGACAAGCTGAGTGACCGGCGCCAGGAAAGGCATGGCCAGCTGAGGTAACTGTTTGATCGACAGAAAGGCCGACCTCAGAGGAGCCTCGGGCTAGGCTTCGCCGAGATGCCGCCTAGCCCGGTCCTCCTTGGGCTTAGCCAGTGAAGTGCTTGGATATGAAGCACGGCCCAACATGGAAACGGATATAGCAGCTCAGCTGCCGAGCTCCAGCTATGAAGGCAGGCAGTTGAGATTAGGTGATGTTCAGCAAGGTCTATGCTGACAGATGGGATAACGGAGCCACGTGTCAGGAGATGACTGGGAGTAGATATGGGGCACAGAGGGTATATAAGCATGTCTGCGCCCCCCATACGCGACAGATGAACATTTGGTGAGCCGAGGCTATTGCCTTGGAGCTGGACCTAGTGGAAGAACGTCGGGAGAAGGCCCTTATCCATGTGGCCGCCTACCAACAAGAGCTCTCAAAGAAGTATAACAAGACGGTGCACCCCAGACCATTCAAAGTTGGTGATTGGGTTTTGAGGAAGATTATGGGCAACACCCTGGTGCCAGGAGAAGACAAACTAGGGGCAAATTGGGAAGGACCCTACAAGATCACCGGTCTGGCGGGCAAGGGGGCTTACCACTTGGAGGATTTAGAGGGAAGAGCAATACCCCGGCCATGGAATGCGGCCAACTTAAAACTGTATTATTTTTAAGCTTTTGCTTTCTTTTCTTGTGCAAAGAAATTTTTTAGCTTGCACCACAGCATGTAATTATTTTTATCAATTTATAGAAGTAATTTTTCTTTATCACTTGGACTGTTGTTTTAATGTTAAAGACCGAGATAATGTACTCCGGTTGGAAGAGTTGGTGTCTTGTCCAACTTCGGATTCCCAACCGAGATGATGTACTCCGGTTGGAAGAGTTGGTGTCTTTTCCAACTTCGGATTCCCAACCGAGATGATGTACTCCGGTTGGAAGAGTTGGTGTCTTGTCTAACTTCGGATTCCCAACTGAGATGATGTACTCCGATTGGAAGAGTTGGTGTCTTGTCCAACTTCGGATTCCCAACCGAGATGATGTACTCCGGTTGAAAGAGTTGGTGTCTTGTCCAACTTCGGATTCCCAACCGGGATAATGTACTCCGGTTGGAAGAGTTGGTGTCTCGGCCAACTTCGGATACCCATCCGAGATGATGTACTGCGGTTGGAAGTGTTGATGATTTGTTCAACTTTGTTATTACCAACCGGGCTGGTTATTCCGTTTTACAAATTTGTTTTGTTCTGCTTAAGTACTTCAACCGAGTTATGAATTCCGGTTGACGATGCGTTCTGTTCAAACAATGATTTATACCGAGATATTTTGCTGAAGATGGAATTGATGACTACCGTGCAAACACTTGGCAAAATTTGAATTTTTCATTGACAAGAAAATCATTACAAAAGGTGGGGACAGAGCCCGGTTACATCAGAAGTGTTGAAAGCAAAAATACAAAAAAAGAAAAAAGAAAACTAAA